TGAGAAAAAGTAAGGGTATCCAAATGAAAGTTATTGGAGAAGTGGCAAGAGGTGATTTATGGTGGCTAACTGGTGACTGTAACATGAAAGTATATTTTAGGAATAGAATTCCTGGATTTGGAAAGTGAAGGAGAAGGGAGTACTAAGTATGACTCCTGAGTTTTCTGGAGGAGCAGCTTGGAAGGGGAAGAGGAGTTTTACTGGGGTGGGCTCCTTGGAGGGAGGACAGGATTTGGGAGGCAACGTGATGAGTTGCTTCAGCTTATTGACTTTAGGCAACTTTTGGAACATCCATGTACAAGTGTAAAGGAGGCAACAGAGTCTACCAACCAGTGCTCAAAACTGGGCAGGAAATGTTAGATTTGAGAGTTGTAGGCACGTAGATGGAGTATAAAGCCATGGCAAGGGCTGAGATCACCTGGGTAGGATCATCGGTGAAGAGAAGATGGCTCAGATCAGAGCTCCGCACAATGCTCCTGCTTACAGGAGGAGCCAGCCAAGGCGAGTATGAAGGGGCAGGTAGAGAGAGGGCCAGGGGTCAAGGCTGAGGAGAGTATCAAGGGAGGATGATCAACTCATGCAATGCCACCTCTCACTAGAGTGGTCTAGTGAGATGGAGGTTGAAACGTGTTTGGGTTCACCACCATGGAGGTTCCAGAGACTTCAGCAAGGGCAGTACTAGCAGACCCCAGAAGAGGAGGGCTGAAGAGAGAAAAGGAGCCACATGGTTGTTCAAGGATGGCAATTGTAAAGTCAAAGAAAAAGCAGTCTACCCCATGTGTGAGAATGTTCTCTAGCCGTGTTCAGCTGCTTGGTGGACGCACAGAAAACGTGGAGGGTCAGGAGTGTCCTGGTTGGGACTGCACCACACAAGCGTGAGGGAGCCAGAGAGGAGCAAGGAAGTCGCAAGAATAAACAACAGGCTGTGAAACCTAAGCTGGCCAAGGAGGGAAGGGAAGGTAGTCGCTGGTGAAGCCAATGCATCACAGGTGTTCAGGAGGTCAAAGGGCTGTGTCAAACAGAGCACTTGAGCAGGTGAGCTGGAAGTTCAAGGTACTTCGAAAAGTTCATGGAAAGATGAGTATTATCTTTCAATTCTATTTTTTCCACGAATTTTTTGAAGTAGCCTCATACAGGAGGCAGTAAGCAGAGGACAGATCTGACTTTTGAGATTTCATCATGTGTGTGACATCAAGGTCATGCTGTGAATGTGGACATGGGTGGCCAAAAAGAGGAAGTGGAGAGAGTCACTGGAAATGGAGAGGACAAGGATCTGAGAAGTCAGAGAATAGGATGATGATCCGCCTGGACACCGAAGTTGCTTAAAACTACTGGAGTGGGATGAACACGATTGGTAGGAACACTTCGTGTCTCCATTGAATGACAGAGTGACCAGAATGTTTGTCACAGCAGTGAGAAATTAGAGAGGATGGGGTGGCCCAATGGTAGAGCCTCCAGATAGAGCGGTGTCTGCACAAGCAATGTGCATGGTGGTCTAGAAGTGACACCAGAGAGCAAGAAGTCCTCTCATTGGCAGTAGAAGAGGTGGTAGCCCTAGGGAGATAGTCCCAAAGCAGGGGGAGAAATGGGACTTTATCCCCTTTGGAAGAGAAGTCTGCAATCCTTTAGCAGCGTCTGCAGTGGGAAGTGTCA